AGACCGCTCAGGAGATTGACCGGGTCTCATGGCAGGTCTTAGCAGCAATCAGGCCAGAAGACAGAGAGAGCGCGTCCATTGGCTAGGTCGGCCTGGAGATTTTGGGCAACGAAGCAGCTTGCGTCGGGAACGTGTGCAAGCTTGCTATTCGTCCCTTGGCCCAAACCGCGTAGATGCGGGAACTGTGACTGGCTGATCGAGACGTCAAAAACTGCATCGGTGAGCCTTTGGGAAAGCGCACTTCGACGCGAGCTAGTCGTGCAGGCACGACCCACTACAAGACTACTAGCCGTTATGCGGCTGCTGTCAAAGCCCGAGAATGAGCCCCAAGGCAGAGCGGGACGAGTGAGTTCCGCTAGCGACCGGTGAACGTTCATCAACGAGTATAATCAGTCCCTCCTGCGATATCCTGTCTAATCGCGAGTACACTTCAGATCACTTTGTTGCGTCACCCAGCGTGCGCCTTCGTTAGAACACTGTGTCAGACAATTTGACCATTGAGGCGGATTTTATCCACATCTGCTAGTTCCGGCCGGTGCTGTTAGATGGATGGCTCCGTAGGCCCGTTCCCCGCACCAGTTAACTGACCGCCTCGGACGGTGGCTAGAGCTTGGTAATGGAAATGACGCGCTCGAAGCTATCACAGTGCGCTAGAAGTCATGGCTTGGAAGGTTGTCAACTGATGGGATAACTCAAACCGTGCGGCCAGCCCAATCTGAGTTTGTGCGGATTGCCTGACAGAGTCAGACTGCAATGGATCCTCCCTAATGTAACTTCTGTGGCGCTCCCATTTCTTGGGGTCTCTGCCAGATATGGCGGCACGCTTAAGATTGGCTTCTGTCTTGCTAGCCACATGCACTCTTTTCCGCCCCGGATCTTGTTGACTTGGTCGTGACACCGAATGGTAGAGAGTGTGGTAGTGGGGTAGATGCGACACAAATATACTCGTGCTATAATCTAATTCATGCGCAAGTCGCCGCACTTGCTTCCAGCCTGCTGTGGACATCTTCGAAACCGCCGTATGTGTGAGTGGGGACATGGTTTGACGAAGCTCAATACATGTCCACACGCACCGTGTACGTGTTACTGCCAGCACAGACGATTCCAGGATGGGATGACAGAACTCCAGAGGGCGACTTGTCCTAAAATTCACATTAAGGATAGGTTACAGTGTTGCCCTCACTTCTGAGGAGCGATTTAGGCCGCCAGTGAGCAGTTAACCAGACCAAGACTGTTAGCGCGTCGGATTTCTTATGTGCAGGATCAAAGCGAGATTGACCTCTTTTATAACCCTCCCATATGCGAGTGGCAAAAACTTCGAGTCAAACCGAGTAGAGCTGATTGGGGTGGGCGTAATGACTGACGTAGCATAAGACTTCCAACTAATTTAGGCTCCGCGCACGTGGAAATGATCATTATAAAACGACTATTAAGGCCGTTCTTCGTCGTGGTTAGCAACTTGTTTTTTGAACTAAGCCACAAATATATAAAAAGGGTATCCCTCAGTCTCCTTAGATAATTTTGTTCAGAATTCAGTCCAGATTTATCGAAAAGATTTGAGTGATGTTCATGTGCTGAAACCACCAATTAGAAAACATGAATAAATACAGATACCCCACTAAACCAGAAAATTGCGGTAGAGACTCATTAAGTGTGACATTCATCGTGTCAATGTCAGATTCGGATTTATTCGCTGTTAAGTGGGTGTTAGAACTTGACCCTTTTGTTTCCAGTCGAATGCACACTGGTGTTAAAATTATTCCCCCGGCAAAGCACCACTTAAGTGATACTTGAATACTGTCAGCACCCCCGTTGGACTCTCTTGCCTTTTAACCACCTCTTCCCACAATGCTTCCCCCCCTCTGCATCAAGAGCTGCTTGCTATTGCCCCCCTCCCCTTTGGGTTCGATTACGACTGTCACTACCACTGACCTCAAACGCTTGCAAATTACTCCCCTTTACGGCACAGAATTGCCTTTGTTCATGTCCGCCCCAAGGTCTCAGTTTCCTGCACCGTGTCCTTATTCACTCCCTCGTTCTTCCGGACTGGTGTGCTTATGCCCTTATAAACTAGCAGCAACGAGCCTGTGTCATTCACGACTGCTCGTCTAAGCACCTTGAATGTACGTCCACCCTCCTATGTTTTCTACCTCGAATTTTTCTACCTATCGTGCACTGTTAATCTTACTGTTTATTTCTGTAGAGCCTCACCCCGAGTTATCCTGACTGTCTCTTGACGTATAAAGAATATCCGACTAACTGACTGACTGTCATTTGGCATAACTTCTGACCTCGGGTGTTTCTATTCAGGTGACGAAACGTAGCACTGCATTAAGAAACACTGCATTATTAACAGTTATTCGAATTATCTGAGTCTTTCGACATAACTTCTGACCTCGGAAACACTGCAGTACGAAAAGGCAACCAATATCAACAGTCATTGGAGGAGCTCTTCAGCCAGTAGTAACATTAAGTTTATATTATCTTCGAGTTTAACACGCTCTTAGGACAAGGAAAATGCGGTTGAAGTGGCCTAGCATAATATAACAAAGACAAAAAGAACATGGTGTATAAGGCGAATTTGTACATATATATTGCAAAACGTGTTGAATACAGAGAAATTAAAGTGAGGCAATTGAAACCACCAACATAGTTGACAATAAGGTATACATTTCGTTTAACTTTTGTACACATAGATATAGCTATAAAATATAATGATATGAAAGACTTGTGTTGGTTACATAGTGCAGCTAAGTGCGCAGAAAACTGACAACAGAAAGAGCAATAATGGCTAAAGAAAGAAGAATTAATGCTTATGTTTTCAAGCGTGTTCAGGTGATTCTGCTTGAACGGACAGGCAAGAATGCACTGTTTTCGCTGAGGACAAGCATATTCGATTTGCTCTTTTTACAAGAGTATTCGCTGAGATCAGGCCTGCCGGCAGACCTGAAAGAGATAAGATTTCAAGTGAAGTTAAATACTAACTACTAACTAAATTAAAGTAGTTGTTATGTGATAGACACAACTTGTACCTTTTCGTGGTGGAAGGATTGGGGAGCTCGAGATTTTGTGGACTCTCATGGAACGCCTCGTGTTCGGGAAAACTTGAGTCCATTTCCTGCTCCGCACCATCGGGGGGTTCCCGCTTCATGACTGTAGGACGCTTCAGTCCGGAGACTGCGACTGGAATGAGACAAAAGCCCTCCAGTACCGCACCCGCAGGATTTGGATGTCTGGCGAACACAGGGACAGGAGGAGTAGTGGGTGACGCACGATTGGCAGAATTTACAGTCTGAAAGGGTACGTTTTCGTCTAACGAGTCCCTGCCAAAGTTGCTGGGAGGAAGATTTGAGACGAAAGCCGGAGGGGATGGTAAAGGAACGTCCGGGTTAATCGGATGGTCAGTCCTGGACGAAGTTCTAGAACGGTTTTCAGACAAGTGGGGATCGTTGACATGGCAGTTGAGGACTGACCACTTTGGAAGGCGTTCTAAAATGGTCAAGGGAAGATGCTGAGTTAGTTGGAGAACTTTTTAGAAAACTTGTACACATATTCTAGTTTGAGAAGAATAATTAATTGACCTTGGAAGGAATGCGTAGACAGGAAGTATTCGCAGCTGATAGGTAGTAACGACAAAAAAGGAAAGTTCTACGTCAAAAGTGAAATGAGAAGGCCGTGGTCGGTTTTTAAATTACATAGCCAGGTTTTTAAAGTCATATAAGCAAAGAGCCCGTCATACCAAGGTAGATTATTAAACTCAACGACCAAAGGTCCTGGGTTCGAATCTCAAGGGTTCCAACGCCTGAGATTTGGTATGACTGGCTGGTGACGGCTAACAAGCCAGAAATGGCTATTCCGGTCTCCCTTTGCTTTGTTTGATCCATGTCATCATATCCTCATGGTCGCTATATGACTGCCTACGCGGGCTCGAATTATGAGCTCCTAAGCGAAGCGGAACTTAATTGTTCCTCAACCAGATCGGCGAAGCCCATATGTTCATCAGTCATATAAGGGTTAAGAATCTGGCAGACGGAGAACGTCATCAATGAACGTTTCGACGTAAATAAACGCTTTACAAAAGTTGTGCACTCAAAATAACCTCAATCAACTAAATCTAAGTCGAGTTTCGAGACTTCATTTCCTGCTCCTATTGCAGATACAAGGCCACAGATCCTAGTTCTACGACCTAAAATAGTCATTCCATGATCAGAAAAGGAAGTAAAACTTGACAACTAAGGGCAATTGGCAGTCAAAAAATTTTGAGCAGTCTGAACTGCCTTAGGTTTATAATGGAGACCATTCAAATAAAAAAGCAACGCCAGTCTGTGAAACGCCCCTCAGAAAAAGCAACGAGAAAGGAACGATGTAGTGTTTATGATGGGCAGGAAGTCAAACCCGTCAGAGCCGATGGCCTCTTGAATTCCAGATAAGGCGCACGGACACTTACATCGTCCAAAACCCCTGTCCAGCCGCGTGTCGCAGGATAGCAGTTGCAAGGGGAATGAGAGATAGTTTCCTGTAGTTCTTAATATAGAAGACGGATGTCTCCAGCGAATACTCGGACGCAAAATTTGCATTCTCTACGACTGTGCTGAGTGTTGAATGAAGGCCTACGTTGTAATAGCATTTTGTCTTGTAATTATTCTGTAAGTAACCCCTGTATCAAGCCATGCCCGAAGATAGCACCGTCACCCGATGATCAGCTACTGATTCGTCGGGTCTGCGGACCTGTTTCCAGCCTTCGTTGAGGGCTAGTTCACTATCCACTACCTGTGAACGCGTCAGGCAACCTATAGATAGGCTGCAAACAAGCTCCGTCTTCTCAGAGTCCCTGCTAGCTAGAGACGGCGGTGGCGGCGTAGATGCACCCTTAAAATGGACAGCACTCTTGCCTCA